TTCTCCTTCCGCCCCTTCCAGCCAAAGCCCTTGCCCTCACCGTTGTTACTGGCCGTCTTCTCACCATGGCCCCCGAGCTTCAACTTCTGCACCTCATCCTCGAGGGCCTCGACCCCACCGTCCCGGAACCGCGTCACCTTGCGGACATTCAGCGCGGTGATCTCGTTGAGGGTGTCGAAGCCCTGGGCGCGCTGGCGCGCAATGGTCCGCGCCGTCAGGGCGAACCGCATGTCCTTGGGGCCGTCGACCAGCTCCAGGATCGCGCTCTCCGCCTGGTCGTCCTTCTTGGGCTCCACGCGCAGCACCCGCGTGTAGCCGCCGGGTCGGTTGGCGTAGCGTTCCCGCAGGGGACCGAAGAGTTTGGGGAGGATGGAGTGGGGGGTCTTCTCGTTTCATATCAGTATGTTTTTTTTCTGGGAGGTCGGATTTTGGGGCAGGGGCTTAGGGCAAGATAGGACGGGGGCTTGGGGCACGCACGTAAAACGTAGCCAGGGCGCTCTTCCGGCTGGCTTCGGTGTTCTTCTTGCCCAGAGTGATCAGCTTCTCGGCTAGTCGTTGGGCTTCCTTGGCCTTGGCCCATGTGGTGGTGATCGACTCGTGCGTGAAGAGGGAGGTGACCAGGTTGCGGAGGAGGGCTTGTCGGTGCGACGACTTGCGGCTCAGGTGGCGGTATTTGGCTGCGCCTCCGGCCATGGTGCTGGTTTATCGGGGGGGGGGTTGTGGTGGTGGTGGTGGTGTAGGTTGGTCGTTTTCTCTACCCCCCGGTTGCTGGGTGTAAGAGGCTGGAGCGGAGCGGTTTTGAGGTGGATATCCGATCGAGTTGAGGGTGATATTCGAATTGAAGAGATACGAAGGGGGTATATGGTTGTGTAGGTGGGTGAATGAAGGGGTGGAGTCTGGGTGTGTTAAGGGTCGTGGTTATCGATTCATGCGGTTTGAAGCTGAGTTCTGCGCACTGCAAGAGAAGCAAAAGATTCGGCGTTTGCCCGCATCGGCCAATCGGAGTCCGTGTCGACGGCTGGCCCCGGTCCCGCGCGCTGTTGGAATCGCTGTTACTCTTGGACTTGCAACAATGCATTACTTCAGTTACTGTGGACAACTTCTCGGTAAATTCTGCTTTCTCAGTTATTCAGAGAACTATTGTACCTGATTTGAATCATATTTTCATATTTTTGCCTGTTAGATCTCCGACATTCCGAAGGCCTTGCCAGTCTGCAACCTTCTTCCGTCGCTCAATCTCTCCCCGCCTGCTTGAACTGTTCCGGTCAATAGCACTGCACCCCGCAGGCTTGCGAAACTTCAAACGGGTGTTCTCCAGCCAGTCACTGGCCATATCTCCCAAATGGGATTCTTCACAGGCTTTGTAAGTCGGCCTCTACCCCCGATACTTATTCCATGGACACTATTCCTAGACACCCCAGCCACGCCGAAATCCTACACGCCGTCCACGAAGCTAACCTCAGCTCTAGGCGAGTGGATTCGCCTTGACCACGACCGTCCTCTACCTGACCGTGCAAGTCCATCGGTACAACCGTCTCGAGCAGCGCAACGCGATCCGCGACCAGACCCGCGCGTTGACCTGGCTGGCCTCGTCGACCGGCGCCTACGATCGCCGCTTGATCCCCAGCGAGACCGAGAAGCTGCAGGAGCTGCCGCCCAAACGCACCCAGCCGACGCTGTCCGAGTTACTCAAGCACCGCTGGAACACGGAGGTGGAGACGCTGGCGAACAAGGCCTACGAGGCTAGCTGGGAGGACGTGCGGGATATGGCGGTGGAAGGGTGGAGCTCGGCCATGAGGCTGGTGAAGAACGAGTAGAGGGGGTATGGATGTGGTTTTGTCTTAGAAGGGGTTTTGATTTTGTTATGTGTGTCATGCTTGGGCTTGTATGCTATCGGGAGTGGTTTGTGTCTCTGATACCCTTGATTTGTTGTTGGTACTTCGAAAATTTTGGGAAGTTCTTCTACTGTGTTCTTTGCGAATTGATTATTGCTCGTCGTTTTGATGTGACAGAAAGTCTGGTGTAGACAGACTATCGGCATTAGTATAGATGGACGCGGCGAAGGCCGGATATTGCCCTCCGCGCGCAGTGGCATCTGGTTTGAACCCTCAAGCTCCAGTTCCAGCAGTACCCATTCCAAGTCCGTATGCCTGGTGAGCTAGCATGAAAGCCACCTGCAGGCGAAAAGGTCATACCAGCTGATCTCTTGCTAGAGATAATCATATGGGGGACGAAATTCGAGTGCGAGCCCGCATCTGCTTGTTCAGCCCGCATCTGCTGTAGTCTCTGTCGCCGTGCTCACGCTATCAGTATCGCTCCAGATGTCCTGACTCTCCCGCTCCACAGCACGCATAGCCTGGGCGACCTCCTCCAACTTGGCCACGACATCCAGAACGCCGTTGTTTACACGATCAAAGTACCGATCGTTAGCCTCGCGTCTCTCGCGCGCAAGAAGAATATCCTTCTCCGTCTCCTCATCCAGATTCCGAGCCGCGCCGCCGTCCTCCACGGGAGCCGGCTCCCCAGATACACCAGGGCCAGCAACGCCCCGTGCCCCTTGGCCCTGCGGGGCAGCAGCAGCAGCAGCAGCTCCTTTAGCCGGCGGAGCGGCCTCTTTCGTGTCGACGGCCTTGTCATCGGCGGCCTCGCTGCGTGCCCACGCCTGCGCGAGCTTAAGCTGCTTGGCCCGAAGATCCTCCAACGCCTCGGAATGTTTCTCCCCGAACACATGCTCGCCCGTGGTGGCACTCAGCTCCACCTCCGAGAGCGCGCTCTGCATCTCTTGCCAGATCGCATCGGAGCCGTCAATATCCCCCTTGGACTGCTTGCGAGTGAGGAAGGGGGAGCCAAAGGTGCCGCCAGAGGTCTCGAGGCCGCCGCGGGCGGACCGATTCCGATGCAGCGGCGGCGATTGACTGCCTCCGCGGCCTGGTCCAGGCCCCGGCCCTGTCCGACCACCGGGGCTGACGCCGACGGATGCCGGGGGCGGCGGGATTGAGATGTTGGAGGCATTGTGGGAGGGGGGACCTTGGAACAGGACTGGTGGGGGAAGTCGCTGGGAGCTTATCTTCCGGAGGGTTTCCATGCGGGGATCCATCTTGGGATCCATGCGGAGAGTGTTGGAGGCCATTGTGTTTTGGGGGTTTCTCTTGGATTGTGGACCGGTGATTAGGATTAAGGCATTATACTTGGTTTGTTTGGGTAATAGCCCAAGTTTGTAGAGTGAAAGATCAAGATAGCGATGAGACTGTAGTTGGAGCCAACAAGTTTGTATAAGTCCGTAAGGTACGGTAAGTTTAGGGGGAGTTGATAGTAACATGCATGATGTTCCATCCGGGGTCTTATCGTTATCGATGGACTCTTCCCGGATGGAGTAAGCCGACGGGCGGTGGAGACCGGCAGATTCGGAGCGGAGAAAAGGTCTGCCGTGGGCAGTCTCGCTTAGCGGCCGTTTAGGGCGAAGGCGCACAGCAGAACATTTTCGATCTAGTCGAGCGACCGCCGGCCGTGAAAGGAAGACCCCCCCTTTGACCTTTCGACTTCTCGACATCCATCCGCCCATCCAGCCTTTCGGCATCTCCATCAGTCGGTACGTATTGACGGCTTTCCTATCATTGCTATCATTCTCTGCGTCTGGTTTTCCATGTTCCCCGGGTTTTGCGTGAGATCGAAAGTGCAACCCGCCCCGAGAGAGGGAAAGAGTCCCACCGCCGATAGATATTTCTCGCCTTCAATATTCACCAGTACGATACTTCGACATCCATTTCGCCTCCCGTCCATTCAATCAGGAACAGCAAGAGGATGCACGTGAAGGGAACATCGAGAAGAGGAGGGATCCGATCGAATACCGAGCAATGAATAAAGATGGACGGCACCGATGGACACGCACCGCAATGCACATTTCGCGATCTGCGCATACTCTGTGGAACTTGGAAAACCAGGAACTACGCAATGGCCCAATTCAAGGAAAGCAAAGACATCTAACGCCTTAATTTTTTTGCTGCTGCAGTTTTCAGTCCTCCGCACATAATCCGACAAGATGGGTAAGGGACAGCCCCGTGGTTTGAACGCCGCCCGCAAGCTCGCGACCACCCGTCGCGAGAACCGTTGGGCCGACTTGCACTACAAGAAGCGCCTTCTCGGTACCGCCTACAAGTCCTCCCCCTTCGGTGGTGCTTCCCACGCCAAGGGTATCGTCCTCGAGAAGGTCGGTGTTGAGGCCAAGCAGCCCAACTCCGCTATCCGCAAGTGTGTCAAGGTCCAGCTCATCAAGAACGGCAAGAAGGTCACTGCTTTCGGTGGGTCATCCCTCTCTCTCTGATATTGTCTGTTCTGTGGTGGATTCTCGGAGACGATCATCTGGATGGTTCATTGGTTGCGCATCGAGTGCGACGTGAGGGACAAGAGGTGGCGACAACGAGAATATCCATCACAGCGACTACACAGAACCACAATCTATATAAATGAACATCCCGCTGACCTTGACCCCCCTCTACAGTCCCCAACGACGGTTGCTTGAACTTCATCGATGAGAACGACGAGGTCCTCCTCGCCGGTTTCGGTCGTAAGGGTAAGGCCAAGGGTGATATTCCCGGTGTCCGCTTCAAGGTCGTCAAGGTCTCCGGTGTCGGTCTCATGGCCCTCTGGAAGGAGAAGAAGGAGAAGCCCCGCTCTTAAGCAATCCATCACCACCAACACAAAACAAGATGCTGGCTGCTACTCCGGGGGGAATCATGATATTTTTTCCCGGAGGGAGGATCTCTCTCCTGGGGGGGCCCATTCCATAGCAAGAATAAAAACTTATCGGCTTGGGAGGCGACACTTTTTTTCTTCTATGGTCTGGAATCTTTTTTTCTCTTTTTTTGTAATGGTTCAAAGCAAAGAAAGGGGCTGGATGAGAAAGACACCCTGCAAATACAAACCCAATATTTGCGGCTTTCACTACGATTGTTATATCCATAAAAACATGGCGCCATGATTGATTTCCTTGGGAAGGGCCCAAAATATCAAATTCTTCAAAAAAAAAAAAAAACATACCTCTGTATTCTTGACGTAGTTCTTGGAAATGCTCGATCATACTCATACTGGGTCGCTGCAGACCGCATTCGATGAGTCCTTTGTGTACCAAACGCCTTGGGTATCGTCTCTGATATTGTCTATGATAATTCCTTACGCCTTTTATATCCATTTTAGCATGTGGCCTTTCTCCGGCCATGAAAGATCCAATTGTTCATAAATCCGCTTTTCTTTTGCCATTGTAATTTTTTTATCTGATTCTGCCTTTATTGGCCAGGCTTCAGACACTGATATCCTCCTTGCGGTAGTGATCCGACACAATACGGTACAGATAAGATGGCGCGTGTCCTCCCCTAAAAGAGAAGTAAGTGGTCAGTACTAAGTCAAACAGTGCGGAAACCGTCACAAGAGATGGAACGTACAAGTTCGTAATGTAGAGGTCAATCAGTTCTGCCGGAACATAGTCGTACAGCGGGTTCTGCACGTCAATCTGATCCACCAAGTCGCCATCCTCATAGCTGATGACCTTGCTAGCGTCTCCGTACTCGATCAACGAGTCGAAGTCAAACGGATAGACCGGGCTCAACTTGTACACACCGCTCACCACAACAACAGGGGTCTGATGCACCTTCGCGGCGCGAGCGATGACCCGAGTACCGGCTGAGGCGACCAGTCCACCGTTGGCCAGGACGGAGTGCGTGCCTAGAATAACCTTGTTGACACGGGACATCAGGGCAAATACCGCGGAGTCGGGGATGAGGATGACGGTGATGCCCAGAGCGATCAAAGGCTTCTGGAAGGATTCAGTGCTCAGAAGTTCGTCGTCGTGGGGGTTGGCCCCGCTGACGGTTGCGTGCGTCGCCTCGTGGTTGTTGGGGAAGGCTTCGGCATGGATGACCGTGAACTTCCGCTTGGCCGCAGCTTTCAGCAGGAATTTCTGGACCGTGGTCGATGAGGTGTGAGTGAGAATAATTTCGTTGGAATGGATGTGGTCCAGAGCATAGGCCGCGATCTGGTCGTCGACCTGCGTCAGTTCGTCGATGATTTCGCTGATACCGTCCAGAACTTCCGCCCGAATGTCTTTGCCGGGCGCGTGGCCTAATAGCCGGCCGGAGGGCGACGCGGACACAGGGGTTCCAGGCAGGGAGTTCTCGGTATCGGGGTGCGAAAGCAGACTAAACATAGAGATCGGGGCGGCGGTCAGGGCAGGCAAGGGTTGTCTCGATGCGCCACGGTCGGAGCCGTCATGGCGAGCGGAAAGAACATCGGTGGGATCTATGGTAGTCCTTCATCGTTAGTGCCGGCTTCGTCTCGAACCAGACATGCTACAAGGCAGAGGCCATACCGTCGAGACCACGAGGGGTTTGAGGTTGGCTTTCAGAACCAGCTTCGCTAAGGTTGAAGTCGCCCTCACGGTCGTCTTCGGCCTCGTCACGAATCAATCCGAGCACGCGCCTGACGATGTTGCCGACCACCATCTCCCGGGGCTGAGCTGCCATGAGCCGTCTTCCAACATTCTGCACCCTCTCAATCAACTTGTTGGCATCGTTTGTTCTAGAGGCCGATATAACACCGCGCAGCAGATATGCAGTCGCAGTAGCACACGATCTGGAATGGCGGATTTGTCTGCGCTTGAGGAGCCTGGGGTAATGTCAGTACAGCTTCGATCTCAGTTGCAACCAGCCGTCGCGTGGTAAACGAGACGCACGAGATCAGATTGTCAATGGATGTGTCAATGGGGTTGGTCCTCAAGGTCTTGAGGAAGGACGCCAGGCCGGGCGTCAAGGGCCCCGAAGTAGCAGGCATTTTGTTTTTGACGTTCGGAAATTAGACTGCCAAGGGCTCTGATGCGGCGATTCAAAGTCTAATTAAGACGGAAGGTCACCAAGCTTCAATGGTGTGTTGGGGCTATATGCAGCATTAGTGAGGCAGAACGATGGAGTCATCGGGTTGGTCGCACAAGTCGCATACCAGGGAAACTCGTTGGGAAGTGTTAGCGCACTCGCAACAACTGTCAGCTCACAAAATGGTCGCCTCAGAGTAAATTCCCGAAGAAATGAGACTTCCTTCTGTAGAACGAGGTCGAGGTAGGTGTAGAGAGGACTGTGCAGCCGAGCAGGGAGAGAAGAAAGAGGGGAGGGGAGGGGGAGAGTAGGAGGAAGTGAAAGGCGGAAGAGCCAACCTTAGAGTGGGATGGATGTGACGGGGGGGAGATTTTGCCCGCTCGGCCCAACGAACCATCGCAGTAAGTTAGCAGCCGTAGTAGCAGCCGTAGTAGCAGCCGTAGCAGCAGCCCATACATACAATCAAATAATACATACGGTAACCAACTTATGCATTGGTTGCCTTCCCTCCTCCTCCTCCTCCTCCTCCTCCTTCTCCTCCTCTTCTCTCTCTCTCTCCTCCTCCTCGGCCTCTCCCTCAACTCTCCTCACGTTCTCTTTCCCTTACCCCCTCCCTTTACCATTAAATCCCACATCCTCGTCCTCGACTGTCTGTATATAGTCGTCTTGAAACATTACGAGGGCTCTGTCCTATCCTCCTTCTCCCTCACTCCATCCCGCTTATCCGCCCATCGGTTAGGCCAAGGACTACGGCGACGGCTATCACCCACCAATTTCGCCCAGCCCAAAACCAGTTGGGGTCAACCGTCAACAGTTATCAGCACGGGTTGTCGACTGGCGCATTGAGGTCGGTGCAGCTCGATGTCTTTCCTCTTTCGTGCATCGCATTTCTACCTCCAGTTACTTCGTGACTTGACTAGGTGCTGACCGGCGCCTCCGCTCAACATAACTAGACACCTGCGCCAGCCCGGACACCCGTGGGCCACGTCGGAAGATGAACTCGCTGAACATCTTGTCGTCCCGAGTGATTGGCCAGCCTACCAGTTCCAGTAGAAGTCGGCAACGATCTCGATCGCAAGGAGAGATTTCCCGCACAATTGAACCAGGCGATCTCGCCAAGTTTCGGTCCTATAGTGAGAGCAACTTCCATGCTTCCGAACACCATGAGAAAAGCTACGATGTGACGCCCGGCGCGCCAGATGACCTCGAAAACCATGAGTACACGCTTGACGAGAAATCACCCTTATTACGAAGTCTATCCAAGGATCGCTCTCTGGGCACAAACAGCACCATAGGGCTGTTCGTGCACCGGTTCTTCGATGCGATTGCCGAGACGATCAAGTTCATTTTGTCAACCTTGGCCGCGCCTGGATTTTTTGTCGTCCACTGCTTTCGCGAAGACGATGGGCATTACTCTCCACTGGCTCCATTCCGCAAAATCAGCCGCCTGATTCCGGGTCGTTCCAAACGATCAGGTCCTGACGCGCCGGGCAAAGGAGGGACTCCAGCACATGGCAAACAACGAACATCACGACGACCCAAAGCTCATAGATCACGCGAATCAATTGCCTCGAGCACTTCGGAGTCGGAGGGGGATCGGCGGAGCGCCAAGGGACTCAGCAGCAGTCATTCTCGGTCCGTCAAGTCTAAGTCCTCCAGCTCCGAGCATGCACCGGACGACAACATCCCTCGGCGATCTATTCGAATCAAGCTTCATAATGAAGAGGCGTTCAAGCGGAACCGGCAGCGTCGTGCGCAAAGCACGGATTTGGGACAGGCGTCGCAGAATGGATCCCAGGGCGCTCTAAATCTTGATAGCTTGAAGTCCCCGACCTCCCCGTCGGTCCATCGAGTCACTCGATATCCGCATTCGCCCGTTCCTCCTCGGCCTCTGATTCCCCAGCGCATACCTTCCTACACGGCCAACCTACGCAACACGAAAAGCCCGCAAAAGACTCTGGTCCTCGATCTCGACGAAACACTCATCCACTCCCTGGCCAAGGGTGGCCGCATGTCCAGTGGCCACATGGTTGAAGTCAAGTTGTCCACGCCCATGACGACCGCTCTGACTCCAGGCGGGCCTCCGACCACGCTTGGTCCGCAACATCCCATCTTGTACTATGTCCACAAACGGCCTCACTGTGACGAGTTTCTGCGCAAGGTGTGTAAATGGTACAAGCTGGTGGTTTTTACTGCGAGTGTGCAAGAGTACGCCGATCCGGTCATCGACTGGCTGGAACAGGAGCGGAAATACTTCCACGCGCGGTATTACCGGCAACATTGTACCTTTCGCAACGGCGCGTACATTAAAGATCTCAGCTCTGTTGAGCCAGACCTGAGTAAAGTGATGATCCTGGACAATAGTCCTATGAGTTATATTTTTCACGAAGGTGCGTATGGGTTTGTGGATTGTAGGCGCAGCTCCCCCCAACTGACCTTCGATCGCAGATAACGCAATCCCCATTGAGGGCTGGATTAATGATCCGACGGACAACGGGTTGCTCCACCTCGTCCCCATGTTAGAAGCTTTACAGTATGTAACCGACGTGCGGGCTTTCCTAGCCTTGCGTAGAGGGGAAACAGAAGCTTAGCTTTGACAAGGAGAAGAGGGATGGACCCGTGGCAGTGACGGAGTGACTTATGGCCTTTAATATAATAATAACCCCCCCTTTGCACAGAAAACACGAAAACAGAATAAGGGAAACCCTGACCGGAATGTTGTCCAAGCTTGATGTTATTACGGAAATCTCACAATGCATCCCATGGTGATCAGATCCCCATGTCTCTGCTCTTGTAAAGTTGAGAGAGGCATGAGGGGGGGATGATACAATGGGCTGTCGTCTCTCGACCTTCTCTTCCTGACTGTCGCTTATAATTAGTATCTCGTTCAGCATCCCCATCCATGCCTCCCCTTCCACTATACTCCTGGCAACGACTCTATATATCCTTTCCTGTATCCCTTCCTCGTCCCTTGTCACACACTA